GTTGGAATATTAAGTGCTTCTTCAGCTACAGCTGCTGCTGTTTTTTTTTGAATCATCTTTCATTATCTGTGTACTATCATCCTGAAAATACGAAATTTAAATAAGAATAAAAAAAGAATTTATTTTTACATAAACAGATGGTGTTGCACTAGCTAAGTGTTGTTGACTAGGTGTACCTACCGGACCAGTTTCATCGACTTTTTCAGCTTTTTCCTTTTCTTTTGTATCAGATTTCTTTCCTAAAATGAAAAATAAAAAGTACATGTTATTGTATTTCGTTTTTTTTCTATTACCTTTGTCTTTCTTTTGTGCACCTTTTTTGCCACCCGGTCCAACTGCACCTGATCCATGATCATCTTCTGATTGATTTGTTGGTGTTGGTGGACTACGTGTTACACCTTTTGTTCGATCCCATAAATCAAAAACGCTCATTAAATCATTACGATAAAAATCAAATGTTTTAAATCTAAAAATCAAAGATATTTTGTTTTTCAAGTAAAATAAAAAAGATAAAAATATTACTTGACAAGCAATTCTTTTTCTTTTTTCTTTTCTTTTTCCTCATCAAGATCACTTGTTGTTGATCCTTTCATTAATGAATTTGAACCTTCTTCTTCTTTTATAGCAAGATCTTTCATAGATTTTTTTTTCCTAAAAAAAACAAATAAATTCAAAAAAACAGAAAAACAAAATTTTTGCTTTCATACTTATCAATATCTTCAGTACTTATTCCATCCATTTTTATGGTTGATCGATCAGAACCAGTTGGACCACGAGCACTAACTAATGTTAATCGAGAACCACCTTTTGCACCAGCAACTGTAGCATTCGATGCTGCAAGGTTTTTATCACCACCAGCTATCGATCCACCTTTACCCGCGGCTGGTTGATTTGCACCACCTTTTTTACCCTTTTTTCTAAATAAACAACAACATATATATATAAACAATAAATATTAAATAAATACGGTTCAGTTTCTTTTAATGCTAAACGTTCTTGTTCTAATCGAGCTTTTTCTTCTTTAATACGTTGTTCTCTGAAAGATACAAACAAAAAAGTAAATTATAACATCCTTTAATAAAATCTTTATACCTAAGAATTCGATCTTTCTTTTGTTGTAATCTTTTTTGATCAATACGTTGCTTTTCTTCCTCAGGTAGTGCATCATATTCATCTTCACCCATTTCTTCAACATATTCCTTGTCATTTTGTTCTCGTAATCGTTCTTCTGAACCTGAAAATTAATTTTAATTTTATAACAAAAAAAAGTCTATTAGATTTGTTTGTTTTTTTCATACGGCGTATTTCATCAGCTCTGGCTTGTGCTTCTTTATATTTCGCATACGAAAAATTTGTTAAAATAGCATAAATATATGAACGATTATTAATTGCTTTAAGAACTGCAATTGCTGCTTGAGAAACAGTAGCAAGAAATGATGTGTCAAGACTATCAAAGACAACACCATGAAGACAATCCGGTTTCTATTTGAAATAAAAAAAGGAATATATAAACTTAATGCTTGTAGGAGAGCACGGCATTAACCTGAAGTCTAGTAGCAAGAATTTCAACAAAAACATCTTCTGTAAGTATATAAGACATAAGTTCTTCTTGATCATCATCAGCAATATATGGACTATCTTCTGCATTTCTTTGTGTATGAGATAATTCAGCATTAGCGGCACTTGTTAAATGTTTATGTATTTTAAATTTAATTTGTGGTGGTGCTGCTAATGGTTGAGGTTCCTGAGTTGCTAATTGAGCGTTTGAATCAGCTACTTCACCGCCTTTTTTCTTTTTATCTGTTGGTTTTTTAACATGTGTAGCTAAAACGAATACAAAAAAAATTTAAATTCAATTCGAAAATATGTTTGAAACAAAAAATCAAAAAGATAATAGGAGCTACTATTGATTTTAAAGTATCATCTACGAGCGAGAAAAGAAAAATACTGGTTGGAGATTGTACACTTTGTGGCGATAGATTGTTATATAAAGGTGATTGAATTTTTGATAAAATAGAAGAACATTGACGAATTTTTCCTATTATTATATAATAAGAAATGATATGAATTTACAATCTTTCATTCGTTTGTCTATTTTTTTTTGAATTTTCATAAGACGAGAAAAAACATTGGATTTTACCTGCTGGGGCAGGAGCAGCAACATGATCAGCATCTTGTTCTACTAATCGTTGTTCTTCAACATGTTTGTCATATGCTTCACGACATGTTTGATAAGCACGTTGAGCAAATTCATTTCGTTGTGCACTATCAATAGCTTCAATAATTATTTGATCAAGATTTAACAATGCACAATCATAACGTTGACTAAGTTCACGTGATATCATTGTTTTTCCTATATATATAAGAAAAATATTATTTTTATTATTATTTATATTTTTCATTACCTGAACCAGGTGGACCATGAACTATAATAGAAATACCACGTCGATTACGTGCTTGTACACCATCTGATGTTAAATCAATGCCTAAATGACGTGCTAATGCTTGAGCTACAGGTGTCATTTCATAATCAATAATTTTTTCGGCAACACGTTTTAATGTTGATTCACTTTTATCAAGAAGTGATTCTGTATGTTCAAAATTTGAATTAAAAATTAATCTATCACCACTACGTTCAACATTAGATGTTGGTTGATGTGATACATTACTCGTTTCACCAATATGTGAATCAATTCCATCAGCTGCAAGTGATGCTTCTTAAATAAAACATGACAGAATTCAAGAAAAATAGAATTTAAATTCTTACCCTCAGTTCTCTTAGTTGATTCTTCGAGTTTTTCTTCATCAGCTCGTTTAACTACATCTAAATTGAATGAAAATTAATTTACAAAATTCTAAACTGAAACTTTTTTACCTTCATAAAATTTCTGTATTTCACCTGGTAATTTTTCTCCAGCAGGTCGTGTTGGTAAAAGAATATTATTATTTTCATCATAACCTGGTAAGAGTCGAAGAACCTATAGAATAGAAAAATAATTAATAAACAAAAAAGAAGTAAATAAATTTTACTTTTTCTTCATCAAGAAATTGCTTGTCAAATTCAAGATTATAGATTTCAACTGGAAATGTACATGGATTACGTATGACGATTTCTTGTTCATCACCATGACTATGTGTTAAAATTGGATTAAATACAATTGATGTTGTTGGTTCAAATGTAGTTCCATGCATTTGTCCAACAATAATTTGAGGTTCAAGACCAATACCACGACATATAATCATTAAACGTTGACTGCTTTGATTAATACGTAATAAAACACGTGATTCATATGTTGTCTATACGAAAAAAACAATTTTTTAAATATTTTTACTTTTAATGAATTCAAATTTTTACTTCTTCAGCAGGCGTAAATTTAATTTGAACATTCACTTTTTGACCAGCTAAAATAATTCCCGATGGTGGTAAAACTTCAAAAATACGTGTTGATGGTTTTCGTCTCGCGCTTGTATTTCCACGACGAGGAAAACGACTTATTGGTTTACCAGTTGAATCTTCCTACAAAAACGAAATTCAAAGAATATATATTTTTTGTTTTCAAAAAGAAATTTACTCCTGGATAAGCAGCAACCCATTCGCATGCAATTTCTTTTGGATTTCGTAATTGTATTGTTGCTATTTTACATTCACCACATTTAACAGTATTAAAATCAAGTGTATCATTTGATGCGTTTAAATCTGGCATTGTTACATTAGCTTTAAGACGTAAATGAAATGATGGACCAGATGTAACCTTAAACAAATATAAATATTTAATAGTTCAGAGGCCATCTATTAAGAACGTCCAGGTTGCGAAATTTTTTTCAAACAATCCGATGACCAAAAACAAAAGACAAATGCCCAGAAAAACCTAAATTAGCGTCTAGATGTTCATGTGTGCTTGACCCTTTCCTCGGTGAGCGAGATGAAAACTCCGAATGAGCGCCGCTCACCCGCTAACTAAAACACTGATCCCTCGACCCGGATGTCCTTTACGGATGATTTCTTAGAAATTTCTATATGTTTATCTTACTTCAACTGGTACTCGGCATTCAACTGGACCAAGTCCAAGATTAGCTCCACGTGGATCAAATGTAATTGTTATTGTAATTGATTCTCCTGGTGGTAAATTCTTAATACGATCACAATCAAATGAAAATCCTGTATTTTTATATGCTATACGTTCAAACTGAAATGTAATATTATTATTTGTTGGATTTTTTATTTGAACATTTTGTTGTCGCACAGTTCCCAAAATAATATATTCAAAATCAACAATATAATCCGGTAATACAGGCATTAATTTACTACTAAATGTTCGTTTTGTTAAACTTGTTGTTGATGTTGATAATGACAAATTACTTGAACGTACTGATTGATGTTGTTGTGCTTGATTCGTTTGATCAACAGATTCACCTAAATTTGTATTCATTTCATTCGATTTTTCAACAAAATTTCGTACAACAAGTGTATCAAGTTGTTGTTGATCGTGTTGTGAATTATTTTCACTTGCTTCATGTTTAATATTGTGTAAAAGTTTTTCTTCTATTGAATTATCATCAATATGACGTGGTAAATTAATATCTAATCTTGAAAACATGCCTGTACCAATTAATTGTATTTTATCAGGTTGAAAATGTGCAACTTGAAGAAAAATTATTTTCTCAAAATGTTCCGGAATATTTGGAAGAAATTTTATTGTTATGACTGTTGATGTTAATGCTGGACATAGACCTGATTCAGGTGTTATTGTTATATGTGCATATTGTTCATTTGTATTTAAATTATTTAAATTTAAAAATTGAAAATCTAATGGAACAATACCAGCATTTGTTAATGTTAATGTACGTGTTGCTGATTTATCAAAATGTACATCACCAAAATCAAGTTCATGTGTATTTAAACGATATGCCATATGTGATGCTTGACCATGAAGTGTTAATTCATAAACAGGACCATTTTCAACTTGACATATAGCTTTAACATTAGCTTTTATACCTGAATGACCATAAAAACGAATAGCAGTTTTTTCAGTTTCTCTATCAAAATAAAAAAAAATAACATTTTTATATTCGAAATTGAAATTTTTATTTACCCTGCTTGAAGACTACCAAAAAAATGGTGATATATCAAATACTTCTTCATGTTTAGGTATAATAGTTGTTGTATTGAATAATCTCGGTTGATCAGTACTATCATCCGACCATGGTCCACTTTGAATTTGTGTTTGATCTGATTGTGTTGCTGAAACTGTTGATAATGGTTGTGGTTCAAATGTAAAATTTTGTTCATTTTCATCAAGTATAAATGCCCAAAGATATTTAACAGGTAATGGACTTACATTAACAATCGTTAAATATCGTGTTACTTCTGATCCATTGAGTATACAACCAAAATCGAGATTTGTATTTTCAATTAATAAATTTGGATAATGTACTTGTCCATGTAAATTAATAATATCCTAAATAACAAAAAGTAAAATTATGAATAAGAGACAAAGAAAACAAATTCATTTACATTAAAAGCATGTTCTTCATATGTAAAAATTAATTGTTCATCACATTTCCATGATAATTCTTTTGTATTAGCACTTGGATCAAAATAAACTTGTTCTGAATAACTCATTCCGGTTAAAATTTTTATTGTTTTTGTTAATGTAAAATTCGCTGGTATATCAAGTAGATTTTCATCTGTACTATCTATACGACTTGTTGAATGAAATTCATCTTCGGAATCATTTTTTAATAGAAATGGATGTTTTACACGAAGATGTGCTGTTAAATCAATAGCAGATATATTTGAGAATGTTAATTCGGATGATATTGGTAAACGTAAATTATCGGTTATTATTGGTTCATTATATTCAACACGAAAATAAAGATCTGTTGTAGAAAATGACATCAATGGTTCAATAAAATCACAATGAATTTTTAATGAAAGTAATTTATCACGACCAGTTGAACGACCAATTATAGCTAAACATGTAAATGCTTCATCGACTATTTTTGGTTGCGAAGCAAAACCAGTTAATGTTAATAAACGTGTTTCACCTGGTGCAAATTCTAATCGTTCAGGTTCAAGACGAAATATTAAATCAGATAATGGATCATTTTCATTTTCTTTAGCATTATTATTTTTCGATTTTTTCTGTATACCATAGGCAGCTTTTGTATCACTTGCTGAAATAAAATGAACAGCCAATTGACGACGTCCTTTATTAGTAAAATGAATTCGTTGAACAATTGATGTACCAACAAAACGTGAACCCAAATTAAGACATGGGAATATAGGTACATCAGGTACAATTAATGCACCTGTACCTTGTGCTGTTATTGGTATTGTACATGGTGTGCTATGTTCAACATAAATAATTAAATCTTCATTAAATCTAAAAAAAGGAAACAGTTTTTTTTTGTTTATAAGAAAAATATTTTTACTTTAAACGATCATTAAGTTTTGCAATAACACGAATTTCTATTGCTGTATGAGGTTCAACAATACCAGAATTTGGTTCACATGAAAAACAAGAATTTTTCTTTTCAGATTCACAATGAAATACAGCTGGAATAGGTGATTCATTTGATAAAGAAAGTATTTGTACATGATCATCAAGTACACTTATTGTACCAAAACGTAAGTCACTTGGTTCAATAAATAAGACAGGTCCTGTACCAGTTGCTGTTATTTGTAATTCTAATGGCGGATCACGTGCACCAATTCTATGTATTTCAAGTTTTTTCTGTTATATCACCAAGTTGTTTAAGAATGATTGCTAATGGAACATCTCGTGTTGTATT